TTGGGGGTGGGATGGCAGGGGTAGGGGAACGGTTGGGCTGGGGGAGCTGAACGGGCTTTGCCAACCTCAACAATTCTGTGATTCCGTAACAGAGAGGAACCGGGGAGAGAACGGCAACGCAAGACCAGAAGGACCAAGAGGCCCTTTTGCAGGTGAGCTTGGCCACGGCCCCACACCCGCGGCGCTCACCAGGGCTGCAGCGTGAATGGGGACTGACTCCCAGCTGGTTTCCTAGCGGGAAAAGGACACCATCGGGCCGAGGTACCTTGAAGACCTTGATCTGGCAGCTGGCAGAGTGCAGGTGCTCCGTGTACTCCCCGTTCTCATTCTCCTTAAACGTGTCTATCTGGACCCGAAAGGGCACCCCCTTCTCTCCTCCATGCTTCCGCATGGTGAACTCCGTGCTGATACAGTGAACCTGGGGGAAGGCGAGGCGTCCGGTGGTTAGTAATTCAGCCGTAAAAATCTTTGTAATTTGTAGCAAAATCTTTCACTGCAAACTCCCCTGTCCCCTCGTGGGAGCCAGGGTGGCGCTCACGTAAAGGGCAACTTGGTGAGAAAGGCAAAATACAGAGCTGGGATGGGACCACGCTGAGTACCACCAGCGTGAAGGGGTTAAGGGGATGCTGCAGCAGAGGTGGAGCCACATTCTTCCAACAAGTTCTGCAACCTCTTAACGTTACAAGCCCCGGATCCGGATCAGCAGGGCAGAGAGTTCAGCTGTGGTGGCCTCCACGCACTGCAGCCCGTTTATTCTAGGTGGGAGGGCCAGGTCTCCAAGAGGGATTTTAGGCTTACGCAGCCGGTGAGATGCACGAAAGCATCTAAGCGAGGCAGAGACCCAAATCACAAAACCAGCGGGACCGAAGCCACCACAAAACTGTGTGAAACAACTCATCAGGGGTCGACTGCGCTAGCGCGTGAACCGCTGCTCTCCTGCGCTGCTTCAGGCAGCAGGTAGGACGTATTTTGGTTGACATCCTTCTACTGCTGCAGCATCTGGCTGCTATTTCAGAGCTCTGAGCCAAAAAAGCTCCTCTCTCCCCCCTTGGAAAACATTTTCTTTTTTCCCCTGGGCCCCCACAACAGGAGTTTGCCCACTGCTCCTCTTTTACCTGGATAAACACTGACGTCCTCTTTGAAGGATCCCATAGGAACTCCACTGTATTGAGCTGGGTTGGGTTGGCTCTAGGGTCAATGATGCCCACGGACATTGGGATATCTGTAGTGGCACATATGGACAACAAGCTGCCATTTGCAGTAGAAGAAGGAGCAGATTCACAGGGAACACGTGGATGAACCAACCTTTTGCTGCAGAAATGTGACAGCGCTTTGTCCCTTAAAGTCAAGGGACCAGGAACATGGCTGGAGGCAATTCAGGCATCTTCATCATCCCCAGCCA